TCCTGAAATAGGAAAGCGTTTGTCTCAGAACAAAAAATTTCTTGCCAGAATCAGCCAAGTGTTTTATTAGCCATGGGAAGTTATTTGTCTCACCAATAGCAAAAATATTTTGCTGGAAATCTTTGGAAATATGTAGTAGCGCGTCCATCATAACAAAACCAGGAGATAAACAAACTCTATTTAAACCCCTTAACTTTCATTACCTGATCTGAAATAATGTCAATTAATGAAAAGTTTGGCGCTAGATTTGTTTCTGCTAGTTTTGATGGATGCGCTGGCACCATTTCCAAAAAGATTCCCAGCGACCGACACTCGACTTGACTCGACAGCATCCACGATCCACACCGTACGGCGTTAGCTACTAAACTAAAATGGAAGAAAATGAACACGAAACATATTTTATCGGTTATTTTTGGACCCGAAGAAATCACGGAAATGTCCGAACGGTATTTTTAGTTAAGTTATTTGGCTAGGGTAGCAAAGAACATTACTGTAACAATAACAAAAATTACAGGATTTTTTTTTTGCTGCAACAGTAAAGTATCTATCTATCTTAGAAAAGTTCTATTTCGGAGAAGCAGAAATATTTTCATAAAATTTTAATTTTGCTATAACAGCAAAGTTTGGTTTTGGAATAAGAAATATCTTTGCAGTTTCAATAAAGTAGTTTCAGCAAAGTGGTCTTTTCTGTAGAAGCAAAATAACATTGCTACCTCTAAAACATTTTCCACTGTAACAGCTAAAAAAAAACCAGCAAATAATTTTCTCCTGGGACTTTTTTCAGTGCAGTGAGCAGCAGTACCGTTGACAGGTCCGTTCACACGTTAACATTAAATAACATGAAAAATACTGTTTTTTTTTTACTAATCGCTTCTGAATATCAAAATAAAACTCATCACAGTTATTTATAACACCTTTTTAACTGTAACGCTTAACAAAACCGTTTAAATTTTCAAATAAATCGATTTTTTAAATTTTAATTCCATAAACCCCCTTTTGCACGCCACTGGTGTTGACCATTTTCTAAACAAGTCATTCCATGATGCAATTCAGACGGAATCTGTTATTGTTCAATTAAAAAATCGCTAATTTCAAGAGAAAAACGAAATACCATAAAATGGCCATATTTCCATAGCAGCGCAATGTATCGAAAAAATGGCAAAGACGTCCCGAGGTGTTAGCTTAGTGATCGAGTCACTATCAGAAAGAACTTTATTGGACCACCCCCGACCTTTCCCATATTCTTCGCCAAAGAATGGAAAATTTTCACCGCCTTACATTCACACCCTGTATAACCAGAAGGGATTTTTAAAAAAATGTACGACGACACTGACGCATAGACCAAGGATGGCGCGTTGTAACACTGCCTGGAAATCCAAAATCGGTAGGGAAGTGTCGAAGTTATAGCAAGTCAAAATTAGACAATTTTACGGGTGTCCCACTTCATCTGCCGCTTAGTTATGAAAGGCTAAAAACTGAGGCTGCATTAGTGGAAGATAAACAGTCGTGAAATTTTGTAGCAACAACGATAGGTACGTAATGAAAAAAGGGCATATCCTAATCACACAATCAGAACAGATCCTAGTGGCTTTTGGAAACCTTTGAACAGACTAACATGTCAATTCTGTGCAAATCTGTAAGCAAATCTATAAGTTTATTTATCCTATGGATACTGCAAAACGCATTGATTGCCAAACACCCCATGCGAAATATTCACGATTCTATAAGATTTTCTGTAAGCTACAGGAAGTACAGAATTGCAAATTGTCCATAGGCAGCTAAAGCCGCTAAACGCTTCTGGAAAGTTATAGATTTGTTTACAGATGTGCACCAGAATTGACTCGTAAATCTTTGTAAACGCCAAAGGGCCAACACAGACTCCAAGCTCAATAGTGAAAATGTGTGTTCACATAACTTTTTTATTGACAATGTCCATTGTCCCTACCATTTCCGGTGATTCTAAAGTATGAATACAAGAGACATCCTAAAGCTATCCAAACTTTTAACTTTAGCGAGGTGCCTGATGAATGTATAGAAGAGATTATTTCAGAAATGGAAAGTACATCAGCTATGGGTTGTGACGGTATTGACCTTAGAATGCTTTCTTTGATTACCCCCTCTCTCACCCCGATATTAAGACTTATAATAAGCCCAATCACTAAAATCCAGCATATTTCCAACAATATGGAAACAAGCTGATATGATTCGTATACCTACCGGAAAATAGTATGCCTACAGAGATGTCAGATTATTGACTAGTCAGTACTTCCCACTATTTCAAAAATCTTTGAACGAGTGATACTCAAGCAGCTCAACTTTTATATTGTTTCTATTTCCTTATTGTTTATGACTTAATCAGGATTTCGAGCCAAACAGCACATTAACAGCTCTCTTGCATATAATTCGTCGCTTATCTGACAAATGGGCGTAAGCACCATAAACATCATTTGTCAGAAAAGCAATTTTAAAAAAATGTACCATATACATGGTTCCGTGTTTCTGTTATTTGAAAGGCAGTTCCAGTGATAATATTTTATATAGACAGATTAATAAACATACTTTTTCCAAGTACTATTCGAATTTAATAAATTTCAGGTGAACATGATAAAATATGACTTAGATGGACATACGTCCCTTCGTGGGATCTGAATATTATTATTATCGTACTTATGCCAAGTACTGCACTTAACAAAACATCAGTAATAATCTGCGGTAAAGAACAAAAAAAAAATCCCACTTTATAACGAGACACAAACAAAAGTTAACATTGAAAAAAAAGTCCCTGTAAATCATTAGGAAATAAAATAAACAACTTTATTGTAAAAAAGAAAAATCTTTGTATTTATTTGCTGGGAGTTTTATCTGGCCACTGTTTGATTTGGGTAGGTTTTTGAAGCACATCAGATGGTAGTCTTGGTAGTGGCAGTTTCTGATATTCAGCATCATGGTGAGTTTTTTAAATATTTACTATAGTGATGTCATCTTTGTTTACCATTACCTCCTTAATTTTGGTCCAATCGACATTTTCACCAGAGTCCAGTTTTCTGGTTACACAAAAGTGGATTTTTTCAAAAACCGTGTATGGCCATTTTTTTTCTGGCGAGTTTGAAGATGGGGGGAACTGTGCTGATATATAAATATTTCCCGCGGACCGAATTGCTGTTGCAATAGAACTGTGGGCGGAATCACCTTCATTTTGCTCATGATTTGTTTTGAAAAAAGACAATACAATTTCACGTATGTTTTTTGAATTTGCGACAGCTTGTAGTAACATGGTGAAAACGTTTGTGTTTTTATTCTGGCCACCACAACCATCTGCGTTTTACTTCTTACTTCTTTGATTTCTTGGTTGTACAGTTGCGTAAATATCTGCCAACGCATGTAGAAATTTCATTGGCAACCCTTTTACTTATAATTTCAGACCAAGAGAAGCACTACGACTACGATAAAACAATGCATTTTCGTTACTTATAGGTAACTGAAACTGAATAACTTGTTGCATGTGAAAAACAGCAGCAGCTATTAAATCTGGGTTGTTTTTGGACATTTCCTTAGCATCCTCCTTCTTTTTGCGCAGTGTTTTTCTCGGCGACATGTGCAGTGCATGCATCTTTGAAGCTCTAATTTTTTATTTGCATCAGCTTTCCTGTACGACGAACAAAGACTGCATTGGTCCTTCCTGGAATGGTAGAAAGACAGGGGACAGATTCAGTGATTCAAATACTCTACGGTAAGTATGGTAGTTGCATTTTGGCTGCTCCAGGCTCTCTTCTTGGTACAAGTTAAACATTTTCTTCACGTTAAGTCGGGGTGTAAATATTCTTTTGAAGACGATTTTCTACAAAAGTGCGACTCCATTTTTGGGAACTTTTGTATGTGCTGAGGATCTCATAACTTCGTCTTTTTGTCGAATTTCTATAACGCAATTCAACACGTTTATCAAACAAAACTCTGCCTTCCACCGTTCTCTTACCTTTTGCCGTCCGAACTGCTTTTTCGGAAACTGCCAGTGTGTTCTGAAACGTAATTTCGCAAACTGGTAAAGATCCTCTGCCTTTTGGTAAGCAATAAGCCAAAGTCCTTGTTCTTCTGGACTCTGTTGCAGCAGTTTTTCTCCTGTAAACATCATTCTCATTGATATGGCGTACAATGAGCTCCCTCTGTAATTGGAGACTTGGTATTGTAGAAAGCATGAAATATTTTCTGGCGCTCTTGTTCTTCCTTAGTAAACAACTTGCAGCCCTCATTTTTACATTTTTGAGAATCACATCGCTGCTTCATGATTCTTTGCGGAACTTGCTTTTTCAAAAAGGGACTCACGTATGCTGTTCCTTCTGTTCTTAGGGTGCGTGCCATCTTTTTCATGTTGTTTTTATTTATAACTACTGATAACTTACTATACAGATACCACTGCAATAAAAGGCACACTCAAACTCTTAATATCTTCACTTTCAACAGAAAAATGTAGAAAACATTGCAGGGTAAATACCACAGGAAGCAACTGGAATGATTATGTATGAATTTATGCTACATGGTTGCCGGTGCGAAGTTATAGCTCATCGGGTCGGGGGCACATCAGCCAAACATTTTTCGTTGGAAATCTGACAAAAAGGCGTAAATCCGTTTTCGGGATATACGCCTCTTAGTAAGATCCTGCAGTTACTTTTGATGTCGCTTCCGCCCATACCAACCACGTTCTAATTGGGAAAATACTACTTATACAGATACGCCAGTTGGTCAGATCATAAATGTACTCCATGGCAATATTTTCATGGAATAATCTGTATTTTAGAAATATTGTCGCTTACGCCCATTTGTCAGAAAAGCGACGATATGTGATGACAATTTGTCATGTATCATGTCGATTTTGTCTGCCTGCACCGAGTTTCGAACCTATAGAATTCTGTTGATATGTAGAATTCTACATAGTATACAGATTACCACACGAAGACAATGCTGGCGCACGGGCGCCCTGTATATAACCAGACCCACCAGCTTACCTTTTTCCCAGGTCCAGTTGGCATCAACTTCCCAGGCGGCAACGGTGCTAGTTGTTTTTCCTTGGGAGGCACATAGCACGGTCCAGGCTTCATCCCATCAGGATCCTTATAAGGATTTAACTCAAAATAGGGTTTTGGGTGCATACCCAGCACCATTGCTCCATCCAATGTCTTTCCGTACTCTTTATATTTCTGCTTTTGACCATACTTTTCAACACTAAAAACAGTGAAAATTCATTTTGCATTATCCGTCTCTATTGCATGTAAGTAGGTGAAATAATTTAGTCCATATTATTGAACAAAAAATGACATACGAACAAATAAAAGTGTATATGAATAAATTATGCTCTTGGAATATTTTCCGGACTCAGGGACGAAAACGCAAAATTGAATAAAAGAACATTATAGCGCTGATTGACACTGCTGCCTCTAGCGAGAAAAAAACGAAGACATTACCCCATACATAAAAACCTTTTATGGTCCTAAGAACATAATGGATCAGTTATAAGACAATGAAGATCAAATTATAGACCGCTTATGAAGATAAGAGATCTTATATAATATGTGTGATTCTTTTTTTAAACTTGATAAATAAGGCGTGCACAGAAACTAATGGAAAACACTGACTTCAAAATTGTATTTGATAATTAAGCTTTTGAATGTCGTTTACACTGTATTCTGTTAAAAAAGGGATCGCTTCCCTAGTCGCTCTTTTCAATAAGAAGCTAGGGGCCAAGATAAAAAACTGCAAAATGCGACGAAAAAGCACAATAAGTTACCTATGTGTCGGATAAGGATTGATACAAATATCGACATATCCACAGCCTCCTTGCTTTCCTGGTCGAGATGTAGCATTGGGGCCTTCGTGTTTGGTCGGAATGCGTTGCTTTTCTTTTCTGCTGAAAGCTTCAATTCGACCTTCAAATGTGCCGTGCCAGTCTCCTGGAGTGCTGTGCCATTTAGTTTCACCTGGTGGGACGAAGGGGCGTTCGGAGATGTTTTTAAATTTTGAGGGCAACCTGAAATAACAGTTATCGTTTATCTTCTAGTGTCTCGAATTCTTCCCCAGCTATATGGGTGATATGTTTCTTTTAACAAGAAAGTTATTCTTGAAGTAGTGACTATAGGTAGTGTTTAGAAAAACATAAAGATACGTTTCCATCACGTAGGCACATTGTGGAAAACGTTGTTCTGAATGGTTCCTATTCAATTTTCCCCTTTTGAAATGAAAAAAATTTCTGCATATCCCCTTGTTTTCTCCACAAGCAGCTTAAATAGGCTGCTTGTTTTTTGAACACTAAAGGTACCTGGAAAATATGATGGAGTGAAATTCGGGGGCAGGTGAACTTATCAGCACCCAAGAGGAGGGAACGTATGCTCTTTGTAATTCTAGTCTAGATTCCTGTGATTGATCGAACCAAATTGAGGCACTTTTTGAGTCACCCTACCTAGTCTATTTCCTTCGGGCAAAATTTTAACGAAAAACGCCAAATTGTGATAAAATCATGAAATTTGGAATAGTTATAAAAGATGATATTTTAAGAGATTCGACCCGATAAGCCACCCTCCTGGACCCGTAGGAAACCCTATACCTCCCTTTTTCCACAATGGCCGACAAAAATGTCCTAAATTTTGGATTTTTTCAAAATGGGCGATATTATATTCTATACTATAGAACTCGAGGATGGAGAGAATTCAACTAAAATATTTCCAAGTCGATATGACCTTTACCGACCTTGAAAATTGCTATATTACTTAGAAAATGAAAATATTTACAGACTTGTATGAAAAAAATTTAAACTGCTACCGTGAGAGAATGGGTCTTTCCCACTCAACTGAATTTAAGTATTTCATTCATATACTTTGGAAGCTTATCCGATAAAATACTTAAAGGGCTATGGGCTATGTGGTTGATTTTTAAAAAAATTATTAAAGGAAAAAAAATTGTAATATTTGAAATAGTCCGCCAGATTTTGCACCAATCAGAACACGCTTAGTTGCCCGATTTACCGGACGAAGCGGTTCCCTATCGACATGTTTTCTTTCTAGTTGAATGAACAAGGAGAAACGGAAACAAAATATCGACATAAATGCGCTTTATCGATTTCTATTCAAGTCTATTTATTTGACAATTGAATTCTAACCTAAAAGGGTACCTTTTGCTTTTGTAAATAAAACATTTTCAAAGAGTGAAGATTGTGTTAAAATCAAAGTCAAAGTTAAAATTGAAAGTTGTGGAACAGAGATTCGAAATTGAAAAGGTGAGATTTATTTTGTGTTATTTTTTAGCAACAGAACTATATTGTCCAAAGTAGGTTCTTACCTACTTCTACTAAGGTTTATTTTGGTTTTTAGATTAGCAAAAGCAAAAACAGAATATAGTCAATACTGTTTAGTTATGTACCACTGAAGACTAAAAAGAGAAAGCCAACATTGTACCTACTGTTCAGTGTAGAACTGTAGAAGAAACCCAGAACACAAAGGTACATAAGAGTAAATAGGAGTCACGGCTGATGAAGCAAATAATAGCATTGTCAGCTGAGAATATAGGTAAAGTAAGCTGTGGGTAAAGATTGTGTTGACAGAGAACTCCATTGGGCCCGAAAAACGAAAATCTCACTTGTATGTATGTGTAGGTACTTACATACAATGAATATGATCTAGATTCATTTGAATTTTGTCAGCTTAAAAAACATATTTCTAGAACTATGTAACTATATAGAATAGGGATATTTTATGTGATAATTTTGTTACTACTACATTGTTAGACATATTTTATTATTGTTGTTGAAACTTTGAAAATGAAGTTTCTGTAAATAAATAAATTGAAACTTAATTGTATCATATTATCATTGAAGTAAGTAGGATTAGGTTATTTCTGTTTTCTGTACATATTATTATATGAATTGATACCTAGCTATATGTATATTTCATTTGTAATGTATATTGTACCTATAAACCTGGAAGCATTATCAATTTCAATAAACTCTTTAAACAAAATTGAATGGTATTTATGTTATTTTCATAGGGCCAACCAAATTCAAAATTGCTACATTTTGTGTTTAGCACAAAATTATAGTAGTCAGTAGTCAACCATCCAAGGACCTTTTTTTTCAGTTATACATGTAAACCCCATACTTTGTGAGTGGCTTGCTTACATCAAGTCCTACAACTTTTCCTCTACGACTTTTCTCGGAAATGGCACGTATGCGCGCAGGCGACTCGCAAACATGTCGATCTGACGTAGCTATGTTTCCTGATACATGAAGGTAAATCTAATTTTACGAATACTGTTTGATTTTTATGTCTAAATCACGGAAATCAACTTGGCCGACAAAAATCCGTCCGATACCCCCAAAATGTCGATCTGACGTGGTTATGTTTCTTGATACATGAAAATCTAATTTCACGAATAATGTTTGATTTTTATTTCTAAATCACGGAAATCAACTTGGCCGACAAAAATAATGGCAAATTGGGGGAGTCCGATACCCCTAAAATGTTTGCGAGTCGCCTGCGCGCATACGTGCCATTTCCGAGAAAAGTCGTAGAGGAAAAGTTGTAGGACTTGATGTAAGCAAGCCACTCACAAAGTATGGGGTTTACATGTATAACTGAAAAAAAAGGTCCTTGGATGGTTGACTATAGGAGACGCCCCAATAAAAACCAAAAATTCTGGTAAATGGGTTCTAGGAACTGGCACAATTTTAGTTAATTAGGTACATTCCAGCTATACCTATATTTTTAAATAAATAAAATAAAATTACACTTTGTTTACATTTCAAAAATAAGGTTAAATTCATAGAGAATCGAGCGAGATCGATGGGTTATCGATATCGAATTCTTGAGAGTTGAGAACACAATTCGTAGAGAAATTTCGTGAAATCAGCAACCACATGGCAACACTTGAAGAAAGCAGCCAATAGAAAATCTAGGCGCGTGACGTCACCATCCTAAGAATTTTGAATTTCAATTAAAAATTTAAGGCCTTTCCCGGTACCAAAAAAATCCGAAAAAAATATTTCTGGTCTTAATTTTGATTACCCTTTCAGATAAGCAAATAAAAAAAAACGTGGAAAAGACCCATTAATACCAAAAAATAAAAACCATTTGAAAAGTATGAAAAGTGTGTTTTCTAAAATTAAAGATGTCTACGACGATCATAGGCAGCCCATGTATTTTTTGAAATATTGGTAAATAGTATATTAAAGTATAAGTGGATATTAAGGGCTTTAAAACACGCGCGATTTTTCGAGCACGACGGCGCAGCATTCCTTTATGCCTGTAGCGCAACGCAGACGTCGCAAAGTTGTCCCTTCATTTATCGCGTCGGGATTCGACCTACGTGCTCGTTTCTGTCTTATTCTAGCAACATTGAAGCACTACAGAAGAAGAAGAAGGAAACAGGACGGTAGATATTTCCATATTAACTGACGCATGCTGATGTTTACGTAGATAAACATAACCTCAGTTCACTTCTAGGAAAAATATTTAAAAAAATAATTTTCTATTTTTCCATTAATTATCAAGTCAACAATTGTAATATAAGAAATGTAAACAAAGGGCTTCCGAGAGCTCTCATATGTGTGTCAGAGTGTCAGGTCAGTGTTGTATTTTTTTATATCGCATAAATAATTACATTATACTTATTACTTGTTTTATTTTTATTATTTTCAGACTGAGGATAATTCAATGTTTTCGCTTCTATCACATATTTTTTGTATTTGGAGAGGTATTTATTATAAATTTCATTACTATTGTTGATATTATTCGTATTATAAGAGTTATTGTTTTATTTCATTACTACCTACTTGAAGAATTCAGAGTTTGTGTATATTATTTATATTTTAAGAGTTATTATTTATTTCATTATTGCTTGAAAAATGCAGCTAATAATTTTTTCAATAAAACTAGCTTGATAAAGAATTAGGTATTGTTTTTTTTTCCCTAAAAATTTCCATTAAAACCAAATAATCTTCAGTACCAATTTAAATTTCCCGCCATGCGTCCCACAAGTTTAGTTCATCCTGTAGCTCACGGAGGCGCTACAGGGATACAGTGGTGCCGATCTCTCTCGTTTAATTCGCTACTCTCTTTTTAGTCTGTTTCTCAGTAGTAATGAGGGGACCTGAGCCTGGGAAAATTTTCGATACCGTGGGAAAATCTATAGATCGGCGGCGCCTTTGATCTGAAATTACTGGGATTTGACCCGGGGCCAACCCCAAATTTTTCGACGTCATTATGTTATCGGTGGCGCCATCTAGCGTACATAGTCTGAAGTGCGTTGTGTCCTTTTACAGGATGCCGTAGTGGTAAATAAAATAAATTCATAAATCAGCACCCCGCCGACGTTCAATGTCGTTGTGTTGTAAACAGGGGTATCATATTTCACGGTTATTTTTACTTATAACTGATAAGCCTTTCCGTTCTAGCAAAAACAACAAGCTCAAACTTGCATTTATATTTTATCGATGATAAACATTCATGGATATTTACACTGCCGACTAACTACATATATGTTTAATAATATATTTAAAAACAATCCAGCCCATAACCCCATAATACCCAAGTAACAACAGCACGTGAAAATGACGTTAAATACTGGTCATCAAGTGACGAGAAATGACGAGCTAAATGACTTAATTATGACGTGAAAATGACTTCCTAATGTCTGGGACGAATGACGTCATAGTTGGTACGTCATTTTTACGTGTTATTTGACGTCAAGTTTATGAGTTATTTAACGTGATATTGGCGTATTAATAACGTTCCATTCGCGTGATATCTATTTTATAAATGACGTCATATTTACCTGATATATTTTCTATAAATCCTTGTTTTTTCAAATTTATATGACCTGTAACGAAAATGAACCAACACTATATCACTTTTGAGAAAAATATATTTAAAAAAAGACAATATAAATATTCTGTAGGCGTATTAAACATATTACTTGTAGTACTTGCTAGGTGAGGTAACAACCAGACACTTACCTGTTGGTCCATAAGTTGGCCCTTAG